TAACAAAACTATTCGGAAATCTAATTGTACAATTGTTTATTCTAATAAAATTATATTTTTTATCAAAAACTATATTTTTTTGCTCATATCTAAATCACATTTTTATATTAAATAGATCAATACATTACAAAACATTTGTTTCGTTTATCAATCTCTCTTTTTATCCAGCTGTGTATTTCAATATGAAAACGAAGAATATACATGCATAAAGCAACAGTAAAGAGAGACAATAATGCAAAATTTCGTGCATGTGCATAAAAAATTATCTTAGAAAAAAAAACAGAAAGAATCAGATCATGTCAAAACAAAAAAAAGGAAAACAAACACAAAAAGTAAAGCTCCCAAAATATATTTCTGCATTATAAAACACTACAAAGTAAAAACAACATAAAAAAAACAATCCTTTTATTTATTAGTTTAAAATAGCATTTTGCTGACCAGCAGCAATATTCACATCCACCCAAAAGCACAAAATAAAAATAATAGCATAAAATCATTTCGTTGTGAATATAAGTGACAATACAGGAAGAAATAAAATACTTATCTGATCTCATTTCATATGAATGAGATATATATATAACTTTTTTTAAGACGGTAGCTACACAAAATAAGATATAAATATACAATGGAAGATATATTCTATGTATACAAGCAAATAAATAATATATTGCTACTATTCAATTATTTATAAATATGTATAATGAAAGATAAAAATTATTATTAAAATGTTCTTCATTTCTGTTCATCCAAATTTTTCATGTCCTCAATAAGACTGCTGCTGAGCTCATTTAGTAAGAAATCCATTGTCTAGAAAAATTATGTTCGATTATTAAAATCGAACAAAATTTTCAACGAAAGAAAAAAACAATATATCATTATTCACTTACAACATTCATAAATGAATTGATATGAAATTTTCTTGATGCATAATTATCTAATGTTCTTGAACGATTTTCATCTATCTCTTGATATTGATTAATTAAATTATGAAGAATAGTTGCTAAAGTAAAAAAAAAGAAAAGCAAAGCAAAATAAAAAAATTTTTATTTCTTTTGTAATTAAATAAATAATTCGTTACCATCTAATAAACGTGAAAGATCATCAACATCAGCAATTGAACCATTTTGTTTTAAATATTTTATAATTAATTGATTTAAACATATTGTATCTAATAATTTATTTTGTACATGGTTTTCAATTGCATTATATTGAACTGGATCAACTTGTTGTCTGCTTGTATTATAAATATTATAAGTAGTATCATCCATAATTGGAACCCTACGAGGCTATATGAAATAATAGTTGAGAAAAAATACTATATTTGAATAAAATTTACTCGATCATTTAAAGTTTGACTACTTAATTCTCGTAACATACTTTCTATTTCAAAATCAACTAATTCTTGACTAACAGTTGCTAATAAACGCCCTTGTACATCAGGTGGTAAATCATGATATCTTACTTGATTAGTTATTTGTAGAGATGGAACCTCTTGAAGATGTAATGGTCTCAATAAAGATGAATTTGAATCGATATTAGATGTAGGAATATGTGAACGTTGATAATCAAGGTCACGTATCCAATCGTCAGACAATAAACTAAAAATACATTTTGTTTTCTTTATTAATAATAAAAAAAATTCAAGAAACATACTGATCATATGTTTGTTCTTGATTCATACGTCTATTTAGATCTAAATAATATTGTTCAATTTGTGATCTATAAGATATATCATCTTGTTTTTTCTGTAAACAAAAATATAAACAAAAAACCTTTCATGTTATTTTTCTTTTCATACTATATTTACTTCTTGATCAAGTTCACTAAAGACTTCAAGTAAAATATCTGGTATAAATTCATCTTCAATACATCTGCCAATAAACTCATCTATATAATGATTAGCCAATGCTTCATTTCGTGGTAAAGATGCATAGTCAGACATCTCCTAAACATAATACTTTTTTTTCTCAGTTTTCACAATAGATAGAAGAGAAAAAGAAATAAATGAAACCGTATGTTATGTCGTTATATCGATTAGTAAGATGCAAAAAGAAACATTGTTAATGAGAACACTCACACTGTGATATAGTTGTGAAGGAAAATAATGCAACCGTTCAGGGTATACATAGTGTGAAATTGGATCATAGACTGGTGCTATGCGACGTAATGGCAATGTGGAATTACCACCACGAATACTACTCACAGGCGGAGATAAGAGATTACTTAGATGAGGTACCACAATATATGACTAATAATATTTAAAGTTGTTATTTATTGAAAAATGTTTTTTTTAATAGTATACCTTCTTTTGTCGTTGAAGTCCACTACCTAAACCATAATGAGATAAAGGTGATGGATATCGTCGAATTAAATTAGGATTTGAAGTTAAACGATAATCAGTTGGATTAAGCCCCCAACTGTCAAGACCAACTGGAGGAACACTATGATATGGATGGAGAAATGTGATTATTAAAATTGAGGTTTTCTACACATATGATTCAAACTGCGAACAAAAACCAACGATAGATCGTTCAGTCTAATGTGCGCTATAAAGGCGATATTCAAGAGTAGTGACAAAAAGATCATTCGGTATATTGACAATCGATTGACAGTAGTTTGATACTTAAACGATCGACTATCTTCTGACCGCCATTCTACTGCAGTATACCGATGGTGATACAAACAAACTTGCAATATAGATACTTACTATAAATCATCAAGTGCTGGCAATGGACTGTTAAGTCGACGTAAATTGTAATTATTTCGATAAGGTTCAATACCAGGTGGTGTTATTAACCTAGAATATGTTGTTTAGATATACTTGGACTGTTTTGCGATGATTCAAACAACCATTATGTGGGTGTATTAGAGTGCAATTATTTGTCGATATTTTATACGAAACAGAATCACTGATAAAAAGTATATTTTACTGTAAAGATTGGTAAATATGTAATGTCATTACTTGAAGATACTATTCAAATAAATGCTTATAATTCTGATTAAGAAATAAGTATTTCTTCAAGAATTGAACTTCAAATTTGTCCTTCTCGGTTTCTTTTTGTGGATATAGATTTTACACTTTTCAATCATGTTATTTGATTTTTACATAGAATATTTTTCTTATTCACGCACAAACAAAACATACAATGAAAATAAAAGAAAACAATGGGAATAGTAGAATGATTAGAGAAAGAAAGTTGTTTATAAAGTGTTTAAAGACCCCCTATTGTCTTGTTTTCTTCTAGAAAAGAGCACATGATTTATTTTTACCTTTACTCCATGAATGCAGAGTTGAATAACCCTGCCCTGTAAGATCATTTGTGATACTTACTTAGACAATAATTTTCCAGGGATAATCATTTCATCGGATCGGAAATCGTCTATCGAACACTATAACTTTATTCGTCTATTCTGTCACATTATATTAATATAATCTTCTCGTTTTTTTTCGGAAAGCTTGAAGAAAGTCACGCGAATCCATGTTATAGATAAAATTCTTTTTTAAAACATAATTCAAAGAGGAAATTACTTGTTGTAGTATTAGGCGAGTTATCGCATTAAACGTATAGAGATATTTTGATATTCATATGTTTAAAATTAATTATTAGAAAATTGTGTTCTTTTTTTCGTGGTATAATTACTTAAACATCAAGTAAATACATACGTTCGTAACCTTGGTGGCGTGAGAATTGGACTATAAAATGGTCTCGATTGAAATAATTCAAGATCAGTGGGTTGATGCCAATTAAGAGTATTTTCATTGAAACGATTAATATATGATGGTTGTTGTTGCAGCGTTTTTTTCTTTAATATTGATGTTGGTTTATACATTGAATTTTGTGATGAATTATTTCCAAATCTAAAGTTTGATTATTTTTTTATATTGATTTATTTTTTGGCTTCTATTATTTGTGTATGTTAATGAAAGAAAAATAATACCGTATTTTAATGCTATTAGGATTGTTCTTTATTGTAGAAGGATGCTGTTGTGAGATAGGTTTTTTTACTCGAGACTTTTGAGTTGTTGGATGTCTGATTGAACGCGGAAGATTTTGATATGTAGCTGCCATTGAATACAATGAATATTGATTTTCAACACTCAATTATGATCGATTATATACTCGTAAAAGCAAACATGTCAATTATTTAGATGTCATGGAAACCAAAGTATTTAACTTTTCCATTATGAAAATTAACTTGTCATAATTATAGATTTTTATTTCATTGATTTATTATATATTTAAATAGATAGTTTGAAAAATTATTTCAGAATTTTCTTTTGTTCTATTTTAAATAACATTTATTTGATTAGTTAGATGTGTTAACCAATAGAAAAGAATATTTCAATGAGTCATATACTATAAAAGAATTGTTTATTATTAATTGTTCTGTTATCTTTTCTTTGCCTATATATTATTATTGAGCGTTGACCATTTCAGGTAAGTGTTTGTTTATAAAAGAAATCAAAAGAATCATATTTTCTTTTTAAATTGTTTTAGATATATTGGTAAGTCTGGAAAATGAAAAGAACAAAATTTTTCTTTTGTTTTTTAAAGTAAATTGATGCGTGCACACATACATACACATTGATTGCTTTCCATTCTAACTGATTTTATTTGCGCAACTCGTCTTTAAGAATGCATTTGATTTTCTTTTCTCTACTCTTCACATCATCTAATGTATATGTCTTTATGTTGTATGATTTTAGTTTTAGCCTTCGCTCTTTTTCTCTCTATGTGGCCTCAAATGCATTTTATACCTGTAAGTGAAAGAGAAAAGAGGGGCGGTAGTAGTGGCAATAGAAAAAAAAACTCATTTGTAATGTCGTCGTTCGTCGAATACTTGTCACCTGTCGTCGGTGATGTCGTTTTTTTTTTCTTCGCTTCTCTCTATACTCTATGAGTAATAACAAGTGTTTCATTGCATTACTTTTTCATTTCGTTTTACAAAAGTGAGCACAGTAAAAAGAAAATAAATTTGAATTTAAAAAACATCGCATCATGAACGATATTTATTGGCATGAGAAACGAACTATGTCTTCAAAACAACTTTCATCACCTCCACCAACACAACCTAGACGTTCATATGAAAATACTCTTCGAACTAATCATCATCAACAAATGGATTTTCGATATAATTCACATTCAACACCAACAACAGGTCGAACAGATCCGTTATCATATCTTCATTATCCAACAGTATCTAGTCGATCAAATAATAATAATAATAATAATAATGAAAATTTTCCATATTCGTCCAGCGTGCATGGAGTTTATCGTCAATTCCCACCCACTTTTATGGCTTCTCCTTCTCCGTTACATCCACATCAAAACAGACACATTGATATAAGAAATCAGTCTCATTATTCTCAACAACGACAAGTATCTCGTAGTGTTAGTGATGATTATTTTACAACAAAATATGATGACATAAATCGTCTTAGTGATGATATTTATGGTGATGAAGATGAAAATGGACATGATGATGAAGATAATAGTTCCGAAGTTTTCAATTACATATTCGAAGATACAGGTGTAAGTTTGGGGAACAGAAATAAAAAGAGAGCGAAATTCAAGAAATATTTGTCAGACTAATACAAATAGTTACTTTCCATTATTTACTTCCTGTTGTTTAGTTTATGCAAAAACGCACTTTAGTGAATGATAAGTTTGATAAAGTTTTTTTTCTTCAATTTTTTTTACACCATATATGTTAATCGAATTGAGAATATATGTAATCTGATCTTTGTATACGAAACAAATCATTCTGTTCTTCTTTTTTCTTATCAAATTATTCTAATCCATTTACATATATGTGTGCATATATATATACATATACATATTTTACTTTCACAAAAAAAACCGTTTTCAACTGAATAGAACTTATTCAAGGGTATCTCTTTTTATTTTCAATGGATATGATGGACAGACAGGAAAAAAAACAACTGTTATTCCTTAATGGTTGTTTTTTCTCTTGTGTACATAATATGTTTTTACATTGTAGATCCTTGTATGATACTTGACAACCTTTTTTTTTCCTATAGACCACATACTAATGCTAGTAATCGTTTGCCGTTTTAGGAGTATATAACAAAAAAAAAAGAGAAGTATATAGTGAGATTACAACATCGTCTCTCTTGTTTTTCGTTGTTGTTAGTATTCTTTTCTATAACTGATTGTTTTGGGATTTAGGAATCATTTCTTATCTTCTATCTCTTACTTGTCTTTTTCTCCGCATCAAATCGATAAGCTCTTGCTTATACATAATTTATTCATTTCAATGAACTTATGGATTTCTTTTTTTTCTCATTCTCGTTTTCGGATAGGATGCCAAATATAATCATGATCATTATTGAAAAGAGTCGTGTTTTGTGTGTAACGAAAATCTATATTGATAAGTGAACAATAGATGAAAAAAAATTAGGGTCAAAATGTCATTTTATTTTTGTATTGACGTACATAGATACAAAAAGAAGAGCGAAGAGTGTGTGTGTGTGTGTAGGTTGGATGACCTTCATTTTATGATTACGCGTACTCACGTCCGTTCGTTTTCACTCGCTCGGCCAGACATTAAACGAAGAAAAAATATAACGAGAAGAAAGTTTTGTACTACATTGAAACAAAGAAAAAAAAGAAGGAGGAGAGAATGTGAAAAGAAACCAAGCGAAAATTATCATTTACATTAAAGACAAACCAAATCGAGGGGAAAAAACGAGAAAGTGATTCAATATTTCTTTGCAATACTATATGTAAACGAGGACAAAGAAATGGGTTTAACTAATTCTCGACGATGGTGGCGAGTAGACGAAACATCTGAAATCCATCCATCTTCTATGAACACTATTGATGAGAAGAAAACAAATGAAGATGAGAAAGAGGAGAAAAATAATGAGGTATGTTTTTAATTGATTTATAAATATACTCCAATAGTCAAGAGAGAGAGAGAGCTCTATTGGCATTTGGTACTTTTTTTATACAATATATATATATATACGTATGCATATGATTGGATTCACAAGTGGCCTTCTCAACCTTGGTAGACATGGTTCACTTCAGTGATTCACGCTTTCATTCTTTTTTTCCTTTTATGAGAGTACTTGCTCTTTCATACTGACTGATAAGAACGTTGAAAAAAGAAACATTGAACATTAAATAAATATATTCAATTTCTTTTTTTTTTAATTATTTATTTGAAAGGATGTGATATCATCAGTGAGTTCACCTATGGCAACATATCGTAATGTTGGACATCTAAATTCGCCGAATACAAATAATAATAATAATAATAATCCTAATTTATCATCAAATATCAATCGTGATTCAATCGATTATGCATCAACAAAATATAATCAACAACAAACTTATAAATCTTTAACAATGCCAAAAAGTCATTATCAAAATATAACAACAACTAAAGATTATCTTCCAACAGATAATGATACAAATTATTTAACAGCATCATCATCATTAGATACTGAAATGAATTCAAATATAAGTGAATCAACAAAGCGTATGAATAATCCTAATGGAAAATTTTCTATACATAAAATTATTCGACAAGGTATTTCGTCATTGCGTACACGAAAAAAACCACCATCAATGTCAACGCCACCACCACCCCAACTAATTCCGTCAACAAATACTGTCTATGCAAATACTTCAACATTTCCACCATCTCAACCTTCTTCATCAATTGAACATTATGTGACAAATAATGATGATGTTTCACAAGTTCCTCCACCAACAGCTGTACGTTCTATATCAGTTGATTCAATATCAAATAACACACCACCACAAAAAATTATTGTTACAGAACCAGTTACTGTTTCAACAGCAAGAGCAAATAGTGTTGATAGTGTTACAATTGATTTCGATCGACCACCAACAGCTAATCGAACTTATATTCAACCATCATGGACTAATTCTTCAACGTCTACAGCAACAACTATTACAACAATTACTACTCCTATTAATACAGAATCGATAACTCGACTAACACCAATACCTGCTACTCGAGTATTACCTGTACAATTTACTGAAAATAATAAAATTTCTACACCACGATCTCCTCCATTATTACCACCTCCACCACCACTATCATCTGTTGCATCATCTCCTCCGCCATCCAATATATCAACAATAACAACAACAGCAACAACAAAAACAGTAGAAACAAATACTGCAACAAATTCTTTAACAAAAGTCCCATCAAATCCACTTAAAATTCCACCTCCAGGTATACTAGATTTATTTTTAAAAATCTTCTCATATAATTATTTTTTTTCTTTCAGTTGCTCCTAAACCTGATGCTAGTCGTTTAACACCAATTCGTACAAATTATTTAAATAATAATAATAACACTAATAACAACTTATCGTATTCTACTCTCAATCCAACACCACCACAACCACCACCACCGCCACTGCCTCCACCACCAACGACAACTAGTGTAACATTTACTACAATTCCTTCTGCATCTTCTTCTTTTTCAACTTCGACAACTACAATTGAACAACGTCGTTCAGTTTCATCTGATAAATTTACAACAAATCAATTTAAGCCTATTCATGATAATAATACAGTTATTTATGCTAATGTTACTCCAACTCCAATGACACGTCCGATAGCTGCAAATAATATATTAGCATTACAAGAAAAATTTCAAATACGTTCTTCACCTGTAAATACAACAAATTCATCTCCATCACCAATACCAGTAACTTTAACTACTTCGAATATGATTTCTACAACTGTAACAAATTCATCATCACCATCAACAAATTCTTCATCAACACCAACAACAACAGTTATTCAAACAAATAAACAAATAACTGTTCAAGATATTGATACAACTAAGTATGAAGAAATTCCTGCTAAAGAACCAGATTTTACACGACAGCCAGAAAAAAGTGCATTAAAAAAATCACATGGTGTTAAACGTCGTGTTATACCAGTATTTAGAGAAAATCAACGTCCATCACCACGTCCTAGTCCAAAAATTAAACCAACTGTTCTTATAACTGGACCACCATCAACAACAACAGCAACAACAGTCAATGATGAACATAATTCTGACAATGAACATAATGAAAATTCTTCATCTGATGATGATGGTGATACTACTGATACAAAAAAACGTTTTGCTAATGTTAAACGTAATGATTCATTAGCACGTTTTCTTAAAGATCGTCCATTGCCAAATGAATTATTTGATAAACATATTCTTGTTAAATCATTAGATGAACGTAAAAATGAACGTGAAACAATTGAAACTAAATTAGAACGAAAATTATCATTAAGACCAAGTCAAGAAGAACTTGAAGCAAGAAATATTTTACGTGCAAAAACACAAGCTGAATTAACAGCAGAAAAAGAAGAAAAGAAGCGATATTTAATAAGAAAACTTAGTTTTAGACCAAGCATTCAAGGTAAATATAATATTGATTTTCAATTTTCGAGAGAACTATCGTGAAACACGATCTAAATGGAATGTTGAAGGATAGGGGTGAAAATGTGACCCCCTCCCTCTCACCCATACATCGTGACAGATGCTTGTCAGAGACTATGATAGATCGTAACAGGCACTTTAGCAACATTCTCTGTCCCTGACAACATATACCATGACAGACGTTGACATACAAGGACAGACTATATATATCAATTACGTCTCGTTATAATATATGAAGTACTTCTTTATTGCATTTCTGAAGCAATCAGTAAAAGAATGACGAAGAAATGTGTCCGAAAATAGATAGAATAAAATAATTTTTCTGTCATGAACAACAACAACTAGATCGTATTGCATATTTCAATCCTTAAGGAATTGCATTCACAGGTTTTTTTCGTTAAATATTGTTACGATAAAGTTATCTTCCTACGAGATTCTTATACTCTTGCTTGATTATTTATCATTTTATACTAATATTAAAATACGAAACATTTTCTTTGATAATAACACAATAAAAATAAGCCTTCCTATGTGACAACTGAAGATTTTAATATGAATTACATGAAATTGAATTTTTTAATATTGACGAATAGTTCATACATGGATTGAAAAAAATATAATTTCATGATCATTTTCATTTATTTTTAATTCAATTATAGACAACATCATAATGTTTAATAATAAAATCTAAAGAAAGATATAGCTAGCATTCTTGAATTATCATCATTCTATATGTTTACTTTCTTCTATTTTAGAACTTCGTGATCGAAAAATTATTCGTTTCTGTGACTATATTGAAGTATCTGAATGTGACGATGTTGATCGACGTGCTGATAAACCATGGACACGTTTAACACCACGAGATAAACAAATGATTCGAAAAGAACTTAATGAATATAAAAGTTCAGAAATGGAAATTCATCCAGACAGTGCAAAATATACACGTTTTCATCCTCCTTAGTAAATCATTTTACAGTTATACATATGAATTCCGACTTGCTGTTCTTTATTTCATGTTGTGTACAGAAATTTTTTTTTCTCTCAAAGAAAAAAAAATAACTTTCTTCCAATTAGAGCAGCAAAAAAAAAATTTTCTTCATCCTTGCTGTGATTTTTTCCATGTTTACATATGGATGTTTATTTCTGTTTATTGACCTATTACTACTTCTAAATACACATACATATATTTTTTTGGTTGAAATCTTTTTCTTTTTTATTTCGCAAACAAGTAGTGTGTATCGCCCTATCGATCAAACATTATTCATGTATAATTTCTGATCTTAAATTCAGACCGGTTCTTTGCTCTTCATATTTTTTTCTCTATTGTTATTGTTCATGATGAACATTAGATTTTCTCTTTTTTTTTTTTCTTTTTTCTTTTCATTATGTCTTTTCTTTTATTGTTCAGCACATTCCATACACAATTAAAAACATGTAATGATGTATATCTATTATCGCACATGTTCTCTCATTTGTTGAATAATTTTTTTTTCTTGTAAAACATTGGCTTGGAATTTTTTTTGTCTATATAAAAAAAAAAAGAAATAATTAAATAAATCAATTGATAGACAATAAAAAAAAGGCTTATGTGTTTCAAATGTCTTTTTGTCTATCTGTTAAACAATATATTCTTCCAGATTGTCTTAACTGGAAATTTATTTATTAGTCAAGAAGATTTTTAAAAAAATTTAATCGGAAAATTACTTGATAATAAAAATGTCAACGAACGATTCTAATGCAAAATCATCGACATCAGTTCCAACAAATACATTGGATGTTCAAGAAATCTCTACCTTAATTGATGGTCAGCACTTTAGTGAAGCTCTTAGTTATCTAATGTCTTTAACTGAACAACAAATCTATGATAATACATGGGATTTATGTACTTATCTATTTCATTTATTAGAAAAACCATCAGATAAATTATGCAATGAATATGAAATATATTCTCAAGATGCTTTAAAACATGTAGCCGAACATGGTAATCCTCGTGAAATGTTAATCATTATGCTTGAACAAGCTGATAAATTTATATCAGATGAAGCTTTTGTATTTCATATACAATTATTTTTAATAATTATTAAACGTTTACCATTAAAACCTAGTTTAATAACATCAATCGATGATATTCTTTCATTATTAAAATGTCATCTAACTACACTTGAATTACCAACAATTAATAATGATTTCGCAGGTTTAATTCCGTTTTTTTTTGATCCTAAATAAACAACATAATGAATATTTCTTTTTGTTCTTTCTAGGTAAAGATTTATTGGTATATAATCATGATCATCGTGTTACTCATTTACTTAAACTGACTCAATTCTATGTTGATTTTATTTGTCAACTTCGTGATTATTTTTCAACAACAACTATGAATAAAATTTTTCCTATTCTAGCAAAATATTTAATATCTCTTTTACAAGAACCACTTTCATCACTTAGTTATGAACCCATTGATTCACAAGAAAGTTCATCATTTACATCAATTCGTCCATTATTAGATTGTTTATTTACACTTAATCCAAATCCAATTCAATTAATTAATGATAAAGAACAACAATCTGTTTTTGTTTATTTACTATTAACAAAAAATCATTACTTTTCATTATTACCATGTGTTTATTCACCTTATTTTTATCTTATTCTTAGTATTCCATTTATTCAACAATTAAGTAATGATCGGGAACGAGTTATGTTAACAGAAAAAGCATGTGTACTTGTATCAAATGTTTGTTCACGTTTGAAACCAAATAAAGAATTTGATTCAACATTATTAGATAATAATGATATTCATACACTTATTGATACATTAAAAATTTTAATGGTTCAATCACCTGCTCGACAATACGCACCATTAACAATAGGTGCATATCGTTCATTATTTCGATCATTTAATCCATTAGGTCGTTATACTTTTCTTCGACAACAATTAGCTAAAACACCTTGTGCAGAAGATTCATATCGAACATTTCTTTGTACGTTAGTTAAAGATGAATTTTTATATGATTATCGATCGTTGTCAAATGAGATTTATAAAGGATTATCATTATTTCAACTGCTAGATCATTTATGTCGTTTACCAAATGGTATAGAATCAGATTTACTTGAAATTTACGATTGTCTTTGTTCAACATTGAATTTTATTCGTTTTATTGGTCTAATTGATAAACAAAATATAAATCGAACATTATTATGGACAGAACGTTTAAATCATTTAAATGAAACATTTATAAAACCTTTAAGAAAATCAATTGAATTAGCTCGTGCACATTATAAACTTGAAATAAAAAATAGAAAAGAAGATAACAAGCCACAAAAAATGGATACGGAAATTTTAGTAGATAGTAAACCTTTATCAATGCCTAGTAAACGAGAACAATTAGAAACATTACATTCAGCAGTAACAAAATTTGATATTCTTGATTGTATACTTAGTACTCTTAGTGAAACATTCGGGGGAGAATTGTAAGTGTTTCACGGTGATATGTTTTTTTTCCATATTTGTTTTTTTTTATTCATGTATCACATAGTAGTCGTAGGATATATTCTGCTATTAAATGTTCTAAATAAAACCATTGAAGAATATAAATTATGACTATTCAATACTTTCGTTATTACTAGACATATTGTTTGAATTCTCAGATTCAATAGATTTTCTTATATGTTAAAAAAGATTTTATTTCAAAGTTGATTATTCATACTAGAGAATCAGAAAATCAATGGTGCCTAAATACAAATTGTTAATGAATATGGATTAAATAGTTACTTCTTGGAAATCAATTCTTGAATATTGATTATGAACTATATTAGAAAGAATATTTTATGATCGTTACTAAATAATTTTCTCTTTTATACTACTTCAAACAATTATGCAATAACAATCAGTTATCTAATGAACAGAATTAACAAACGTCTTCCTTGATACTATATGATACAGTTTATTCCAAGCATTAGAAGTCAACTAGTATTCTTGATTTCTCACCTTCAGCCATTGATTTTGACTTAGGAAAGGTAAAATAGACAAAAATAATAGAGGATTGAACTCAAACTTGTAAATCAACAAATTTTTGTTGTGTTCACACAATATGGTTGTTGCAAGAGTTATTTCAATAATTTTATTGTTTGATCGGTGTTACTTGAAATTATAGTATCAGAACATCTGGCAATCATACACGTGCTCTATTAAGACTAGATAGTCTCACATCATTTTATGTTGTTAAGTATTTCATTCACCGAAGTATCAAGTTTACTAATCATAAAATTTAGAACAGATTCAAAAGGAAATAAGTAGATGTATCCATACTTTGTGTCAGTTGTTCGTGAGAAATCATGATTTCATTATTACAAAACATGGAATTTATATTCATTTCTTTGTAGAACTCAGTCTGCAGTAGATACATGATGATAAATACTAAAATTATCACAATTACATAATGTACAGAATAGAATTGTTTCAATAAGAATAAATGACAAGAAAAAAAAATCTTCTAATAATATACACTAAATACAGCATAATGAATGAATCGCAAATATTCTTAATATAGTGAAACTTTGTAATTTTTTGTCAATTGGCAGTTTGTATGGAAATGGTAACGAACACAAAAACAAATGTTCATATAACATTTTCATATGACTTTTTGGCTCATATTCTTAACAGTTAATATTATCTTGCGATATTCATAAACATAGATTCTTTCAAGTAGAAGTTTGTATAAGTAGTTCTCTCTGTAATTTTGTGTCAAAGACACTTACATTTTTGGATAATTAAAAAAAATCAATATTATGTGCTAGTAAATCGAAATTTTGATACGTAATGACATATACGGTGACAAATAGAAGGATGTGGGTGTCGATAAATGGAAGATCCATCCACATCCACAATTACACTCGCACACAATAGCAACTGTATGTAGCAATAGAGACAAATGGTAAGTAGTGGAATTCTATAAAGAAAATATTGAATAAAAAAGAGATAAACACAACTAGTGAATATTGTATCATGAAGAGGCACAAAGAGATCGGGTAAAATAGTTAGTAATACACATGATGAGCGTAAAGAAAGGTACATGATAGTGACACTACAAAAAGAACACGAACAACTCTGTCAGAAGTTTAAGCCCCCCCGACACCTCAAAAATCGATCTCAGCCCATAAACGTCCGAATTGGCTGAAATTTTTAGGGTATGTGGGGACTGTAGTGGGGAGGCTATGGTAAAATGTTCAGCTCCATACCATGACGTTTGACAGAGATATGAACCAAACAAGGGTAAAAAAATAGCAAATTTGGCAAACACGATTTCTCTGTCAAGGCTCGTATAACATATTTATTTTTTTTTTTTTTGTTTGAAAGAGCATGTCAAGATGCAGTGCACCAAAGAGTTCTTTTTCTTAAAACTTACTTTTTAAGCGAAAAAAAGGGATGACCAATTCAATGACTCAAAAAAAACCTAAAAAATGACCCCATGTCTATACAGGCATTCTCGTATATGATAATAAAAAAGCTTATTTCAAAAAAGAACTCTTTGGTGCACTGCATCTCGACATGCTCTTTCTAACAAAAAAAAATATAAATATGTTATACGAGTCTGAGAGGAGAATTCTTGTTCGCGCATTTGAGAAAGCATAAACTGAGAACAAACGAAAAACATTTTCGGCTTTTTGTAAAAACAGCTTATTTTTCGAATAGAGGGTGACGACAGTCTTCGAAGATTTTTGGAAAAAAAGAGGTGCCGAGTAAAAGTTTTTGTCATTTATGAAAGATCTGAAGGCCGGCTATCCTCTCATGCATTTATCTCAATTTCGAAATTTCTTACGAAAATGAACTTTTTTTTGAAGGGGGAGGGGAGGCTTAATGAGAAGAAAAGAAAAAAGATAGAACAGAAGGTTTTTTCGATATCTTTATCAATGAACCGAAAATCATTTCGAAAACTGTACAGTTTTTTTCTATGAAGAAAGAGC